GGACGAGAATTTTGTCCTTGGTGTTCTAATCTGCTTAGAACTTCTTTCATGCTGTAACGATTTTCTGCTCGCAGAAAATCTGGATTATCCGTATCCTCATTAGATCTTGCCAGAGCAGAACCTATTTCAAAGACTTTCATCTTGATTTGAGGATCCTGGATATGATCTATAAGATCCAATAAGGATTGTTGAGTTGAAGTTAAAACATTTAAGCTTAACCCGTTCATCTCAACAATTGCCTTATAATAATCATCATGCGAAGGATTACAGGAACATCTAAGGTTTTCAATCTCTGCTTCAGAGGAAGAAGAAGATTGTAATTCCATGACAACATCGCCGTAATCACTTGATGATTCTGGTTCAGAAGAACTAGTATTAAGTAACAATTTACTTAATTGAAGTCTCAGTTCCTCTTCTATGTGAAGACTACTGAGCTTCTCCTTAGTTCTGCATTTGTTTGCATAGTGGCCAATACGTCCACATTTGAAACATTTAGCCTCAGCCTTGGGCTTTCCTTTACCCTTTGCTTTAGGAATATATTTCCTTTTAGGCTTAGTATACTGTCTAGAATTATCCTTTTCCTTTGAATAATTCTTTCGTTTGGAATACTTCCTTTTGTAAGGTTTTTCAACCTTATTTCTTTTCCTTGGTTTAGGATAAGATAAGGGAGTCTGGTAGGCAAATTGATCACAAAATTCACCTACTTCCTTTCGACCAGTTAATCTTTGGGATTTTAACTGGGATTGTAACTTCAGATCATTACAGAGAGCTAGACCTTCTTGGATTACAATATTGACTAATCCACCATAGGTATAGTTTCTGTAAGGGATAGAGATACCATTATTCATATCTCTAAGCTTTTTCCGGATTCTTTCAGCAAAAAAGGTTGGTAAACCATCTACAAATTTGGCTTTCCAGTGCTCATGATTTGCATCATTTAGCTGGAGAACCTTTGCCAAGAATACATCTTTATACCACCGGAAATGAGTTAAAGATGGACATCTTAGATTTTGCAGAAGTTCACGACTCCGTTCACTATTAGCACCTTCAGGGCCAACAAAATGTTGGATAATAGTGGTAATGAGTGTGTAAACGGCATCAGGAGCAGGGCCTGAATGTTGAGTAGCTTCATCTTTAACAATCTTGGTAGCAGAAAAGATTTCAGCTTTCTGAATGTCAGTGAGAACATTATCCCACCATCCTTTAAGGATTCCTGTAAAACCAGCAACGACAAACTTAGCAATGGTTGGGTCAGTATTGTTGTTGATTTTACAAACTTGGCTATACATCAATATTTGATGGATAACCTCGTAAATCTGATAATCAGATTTGCCATCTATGTTCCATTCATAAATGGTCTTGCCATGAAAAGATTTCTGTGTATGAAAATAATCTTCTTCATACAAGATATCTTGAGGTGTGGGTCTGGGATAATAATATCGACTCGGAGCAGGGGCTGTATTCGAGTGGATATTCTTATCATAGACAATTCTGTTGAACTCAGGTAGCTGAGTAAGATCCTTTAGAACTTCCTCAATGTGAGGTAACACATTCTCAGAATCAGAACCAAATTCAGATTCATCATGGGACAAAGTCTGAATTTTGAGTCCTTGAATTTTTTGAGTAAGAAGAGTAAGAAATTCTTCATTCTTCTTAGGATGTGTCAGATTGAAGCCTTGAACTTCAATTGCAGGTTTTACCAATGCTTTGGATAAGGAAGCTTCTGGAGGAGAAGTTTTCACAGAAATACACTTAGTATTAATTGTATTTAATACCGTGTCTATTCCCGTTTCAATCCTCCCAAGCTGGGACCCTATCGTTTGTAAGCAAACATTAGTATAATTGTTCTGTCTGTAAACATGAGTAATGTCCTTTTTAGTAGCATTAAATGATGGATCAATTACTCTAGGTTGGCTATAAGCCTTGGTTTCCACTTTAGAACCACTGTCAGGGTCAATTCTTTTCAGAATTAAATGATCAGGGGGAGGATGGACAGAGTGGAAAACCTTATCTTCAGATGTGGTCCATGGTTTGAGAAAATCATCCAATATGTTGATATTAACAAGAGAATGATTGGTCATGTAGAACCAAGAAACAAAAGGTATAACCATTTTGTGTTCTTGTAGAAAGTCATAAAATTGGGTTTTAAAAAGTTGTAATTGATTTTGGTCAAAACTTTTGAAATACCAATTTCTGAATTCTTCATATTGATCCTGTTGAAATTCAGTATTAATGGCAATTCTATCAGGGACAAAATCCATTAAAACTAATATTCGTGAGGGTCATTGATGTCTGTGGGATCTTCAAATTGATCCTTAACAGATTCGTTTCCGATTCCCATTTCAGATGGAGTTGGGCTGAATTCAATTCCAAATTGGTGACGAGACATACCTATTGGTGTCTTCTCGTAAACCCCTCTTGGAATCTGATTCGGAGATTGTTGTATTCCTTTCAGCTTGAGCTTGGAATCAACTGCTGCAGGGAGTCCTTCTTTACGATAATCTGAAGAAATCGAATGTCGAGAAGGAGGACAAGAAACATGATAAGGAAGATGACTTCCTTTCGAAGATGTAGATTTGGATAGATCTATGGATTTTCTGAAATTCAGAAAAACATCACCATCTTGGTCCTGAATAACACAGTCTAAGCTATGATTAGCAATTGGCTGTGCTGGAACGGCATTAGAAATCGTCCAGTGTTCAGGAAATGTTATCTCACTCCAAGGAATCATCCGTTTTGTGGCAACATTTGATGTGTACATGTTAGTATCCCATAACGCTGTTACTCCTTTAGAGTCTTTGCGTATGGCCTTGGGACACATAGTATCAAGTACTTTGTAATGGATGCGATAAATAACACTTATCACTTCCGATCCAGGTAAGTAATCATATCCATAAGTCTGAACCCTAAGACTAACTGCCTCATGGATATTTTTATCTGTTAAAGATAAATTCAGACTAGGATAGACATCAAAATAAACCGGTCCATGACATAGACTGGTTTCCAGTGCACCCATCAAAGAAGGGTGAAATTTCAGACATTGAGCATCCCTAAGGGTTGCTTGAATACAAGCATCCATACCTAACAAGGTTAAAGGTTTAAAAGCAATTTGAATTAAACCTATATGGATGTACTTATATTTATGCATGTGCCTCTGAAGGTCACGGGAAGACAATAATTTAATTATTATATCCTTAGTGCTTAATTGCATGGTCTGTTCCATGGTCTTAATAGTCCATAGATCAGCTAAATTAAGCATTCCGATTTTGTAAATGCTTTTTGCACTTACTGGAGGGATAGTCCATTTGTTCAATTGATTTTGAACATTGGTCCATTCCACTACTTCAGTATTTTTTACCAGTTCTGAGTCCTGGTTATCCTGTAGTCCTGAGGAAGAGGACGAAGATGGTTGTAACATGTCTGTTAATTATTGTTAATACTTTTTAGGTTCTGGTAGCATGATTATTATCGTCATTATATACTGAACAATATAAATATTATTCTGTCCGCATTATGTTTATCCTATAAATATATATATATAGTAGCATCTCACATTCAAGAGAGCTCAAGATAATTGTGTTAAGCTTGAGGCATGGCAAGATGCAATATAGGATTATTACTACTGGGATGAACCTTTTGTGTATATAATAAATCAAGAACCACAATGTTTAAATAAACATTTCAATAAACACCAATATAAGTAAAGCTTTTTTAGTATTACTCCAAACTACAAATGCATGAAGTTTGGCAACCACAAAATTTACAAATGATTTATCTTAAAAAATTATGAGTGAAGGAGGCAGAAGGGAAACAAACAAGCATACACAGTAACTCCAAACTAGAAGATTTATGTAGCTCACCAGCCCTTGGAATTTAACTCGGCACTAATCAAAGATGGATTCTCCGAACTACATAGATGCTACAAAACCGGAAGACAAAACCTACCTCCTAAAGTTAGGAGAAGGTTTCAATTAATATTTCGTAGTCAAATTTCATTCTTCGAATGAGGTGGATCTCCACGTGAAATTCACCCATTCAACATATGAGGTTTGAATTGTCATATTCGAACCATTCCTTGGAATTCTAAGCAAAATACAACTTTTGTACAAGCAATCTACCTGTCCCATCGCTATAAATGGCCAACAACTCTATGATAACAGTGCTCACGGTGGTAGGCTCACAAAATTGAATGATTCAAATAGAGACCCCATCTTTTGAAACACTCCTTTTAGTTGCAAAATTGATAGCATATTTTTCCCAAACACTAATCAACATAGAAATATATGAAGTGTAATGTTTTATTTTTGAATGTTTATTGTGTAATGTTTTATTTTTTAATTTTTAAATTGTTATGAAGTTTATGTAATGGAATATTTATTGTGTAATGTTTTACTTTTAGTAGCAAATATCTAACAATCCTGTTTCTTTCACTCACTCATGCCAGGGGATATGAGACCAACCCTAGTGCTAGTGGCCTTGGGGTGAATTATTGATGCTCTTTTCTAACACAAGCTATTGACCTCTACATCATGTCACATGCAAAATGTCAATATGCACACACACAAATAAATCATAAAAAAAATTAAATAAAAAAATAAAAATAAAAAATAAAAGAAGAAGATTGCTTTCATGAGGCATACTTTTGCCCCATGTGCCTTCCACTTTGTAACGTCCAAGCACCCTCACTTGATTACCTCACAGACTACCCATATCAACTTCTAAGAGTATGTTCTGCCCAATGAAAGGAATCTGAGAGTTTTCCTGATACATTGTCTGTACAAGGTATATAACTTCTACTAGTTAAATGCAATTCACAAAGAGTCTAACTTACAGATTTATGGCAAAAGATCTGTATATACTAATAAGACATTTGATTCCAAACCACAGATTTGATCATTTATGGGCATCAGACATGAAACAATATACTAAAAACCCTAGATAACAGTATTACAGTATGCAACCAATTTGCAAGGCTAATAAATTATTTGGACAAAATAATAGTTATCCGGAAGACTTCAGAACACTCATTTATTCAATTTCAGAATCAATCGACACCAAAAGATAATTGTATTACATCAATTACTGAATGAATAGCTTATTATGCAAGTAAATACATGCAAGTTTGGAAAGATTCTGAACTGAAACTATATCGGCGAATCTGGTGCAAAAACTACCCTAACCAATACCTGCTCCTGCATCTTGTCGTGGTGCATCTGCTTTAATACGAGGCGGCCTAACTATACGATCAATAAGCCCGTATTCCAGAGCCTCCTGAGCATTGAAACGCTTCATCCGGCCTAAATCCTTGTTAATCTGCATATTTTGATTTACGACATAGTAGGCTAATAAATCAGAAAGATATTATAAAGCTCGGTGAAACAAACAATTGAAAATCTTTCGACTTTTCTAGTGTCTTTGTCAGAAAGAAATGATTCAAAGCGTTTCTTTTTACTCTATTTCAGAAACCCAATGACTCAATCTTATGGAACAAAACTACACCTTATCAACAGGCTGGCCTGTCTTCTGAGACAACTCTTTAAAAAGGTAATCTCTGATTCTGAGAAGTTCATTTGCTTCATTACGAATGTCATCGGCCTGTCCCCCAAGGAAAAAAAACAATTGCATATATACATAAACATGTGCAAGGAAAGAAAACGATAAGGTTGGAAACACAGACAATTATGATAATAAATCGTAATACCTGACCACGAGCAGCCCCAGCTGGAGACTGTAATGCAATCCTTGAAAGAGGCATTGCAAAGCGATTACCCTTCATAAGAGAAAATTATCAGATATAGGATCAACAAATAGAAAATTCAGAATTTAGTTGTTTTAGTTAAATATGGTTAGTGTCAAGGGTCAGAATAAGGGCCTAGCAATGCAATACAGTCACAGCACCATATAAATATGTAATCAAGGAAGAGACCAAAATCTCTTAAGGTGAAGAGTATCCTAATGTAATGATATACCATCCAATCTATCATATTTCAGAAATGAATGTACAACCAAAATAAGGAAAATCTAAAAGAAGTCTGTAGAATGGGTAAAAGTTAATAATTATAGACAAAAAGTGTTCTCCGTATTCCTTTTTCATCAATTGAAGCAGCCAAATGTGTGTCCAACTGCACACACTGGCACATGAATTTTTGTATAATTGCTATGTTTTACTCAATGGTCACATTTCACCTGCAACATATTTATCAGCATGAAAGAACATTACCGTCGCCCCAGCTGCAAGTTGTGCACTGGCACATGAATTTTTGTATAATTGCTATGTTTTACTCAATAGTCACATTTCACCTGCAACATATTTATCATGAAAGAACATTACCTTCGCCCCAGCTGCAAGTAGAAAGCCTGCCAAATTATAGGCATAGCCAACACAGTGGGTTCCAACTGGACTTTTCAAGCTCTGCATTGTGTCATAGATAGCCATGCTTGGAGTGAGCTGCCAAAAGAGTGCATGTCTTCAGCAGGGAAATAATAAGAACCTGAAGAATATTTTAACAAAAGAAGTAAAACTTGATCGTAAATGACTTGATTTATGAATAACTTACATCTCCACCTGGACCATTGATGTACATATACATCATTTTGGAAGATTCTATACTGTCAAGGTATAACATTGTTGCCAGTATTTGATTGCTAAACTCTTCATCTATATGTTGCCCAATGAAGATAACACGTTCCCGATACTGCACCCAAAGAATTCAGTGAATTTCTTACAAATATAAAAATGTATAGATCAGTGGGAAAGTGCACCAAAGGAAAACAAAGAAACAAACATCCAGGCAAGATAGAACCCGCCTCCAACTTAGCTCAGAGCCTCACACACACAAGAAACAAGAAAAAAGCAATGCAAAATGCTGTGAGATCATTATAAAACTATAAAAAAAATAGATAGCTAGAATCTTCTGACCCTTAAAGAAAATAAGGCAATCCTCGGGTTACACAGACGAGCACCAAACAACCCATGCGTGACATGCCAGACTTAATACTCTCTCCCCCCCTCCCCAAATAGATAGAAGCAATTACTAAAGCAAAAAGGGGGTGCAACCCTATTAAGAATTGGTATCAAGCCCACCCCAACCCGAAAAAGGGCCTCAGGCCAGTGCAGTCTTTGTCTTGTTGAGCTTTGGCCAGTTAATGGGCCTACCCGACTAGACATGGTTGCTAATTGTGAAGCCCAAGCCTGGCCCGGTGGTCCTGATTAATTTTTCTTTTTATTTTTACTGTTTTTATATAAAACTAACTAAAAGAACTATGCCTCCACCGGGGCTTAAACTCTAAACCTCACCTTTAGGTAGGTGAAGCACAAACCACATGGACCAATGCTTTCGTAATTATAGAAATATATATATGCACCAATGCTTTGGTTGTTATAGAAATATATATATATATATATATATATATATATATATATATATATATATATATATATAAAAGTTATAGTATTTTGGGACGTGTATTTTGTGTGGATTAAGGACAATTGTTCAGTATATTCATAAGTTGTCCTTTTACATATATACAAAATTAATGGATTTATCACTCTACTGATATTATCCAAGAGAAAAAACTTGTTTTAAGGCTCAAAAAGGTGTTTGTTAACAAAATAATTCACCCAAACCGCCTTTGGTTGTTTGCAATGAAAAAATCCCAAAAAAAATATCCAAATAATAATAAGAAGAATAATCGAAATCAGACAAAATGAATACAAAAGTTATGACAGTCTAAAGTTTTTGCCACACAATGAAAAAGAAAAAGAAAATGTTAGGGTTAACGTGATAGTATAGAAGTAATTAGGGTTCAATTTTAAAAATCAGAATATACGAGTTTTTCCCTTTTTTACAAATTTTCCGGACCCCAACGGGCGGGCTCATAGGCCACTCCTATGGGCCTGGGGGTCGGGGCACCAATCAGGCTTGCTTGATAAGGTAACAGGTTGATTTGGGCTGGATGCATAGTGGGCTTTGGCCTCTGCTGGGCGAGGCCGCGGGCCAAATCATTATACCTAAACCCGAGTAGAAAATTTAGTCTGTTGTTTATTGGGTCACAAAATAGAACTCCTACTCATTTAATTAGAGGAAGTAGCCATAGTGACTCACAAGAGCATTCCATAAATCAACCCATTGCCAAGTTCCCTCACCGGGAGTTCTGTAGGGCACTCTTGGTGTCCCTATTGGCATCATTCCAACACGTGATCGTGTTGGTTTAGAGCCGCGAGTCCTGAAAACAGAGAAATGAGTCAATGTACAAAGTTTCACATGCAGCAATCACAATAATTCATAAGGAATAAATTTCCAAAGTTTCACATTTGTGCAGCAATCATAATAATTTGTAGGGAATAAATTTTCCACAGCCCATGCAAAAGCTTCTGGAAAATAAATGCATGCTTGAATAGAGCATTGTAGTAAGATAAAAATAAAAAAAAATAAAAAAAATTTATTTGATAAGTAAAATGTATTAGAAAGCGTTCAAAAGGGGAACGCGTCCCAAGAGCTGTACTCAAACCAGAAAAAAGAAAGTGGAAAAGAACTATGAACTCAAAGAGCCCAAAAAATCCACAATTTCCACAATTTATATGTAAGCCCACTGAAAAGGGAAAACGAATCCATGTCTATCTTCCCATGTGTATGTTACAATTTACATGTAAGCCCACTGAAATTAAACAAATTCTTCCTCTTTTTAGGTTTGCATTCTATGATTAACATTTCTTCAACTTTGAAATCATTTGTGTAGATAAAGCACACAAGTACAAAGATATGCATCCAAGTCAGCACAGACAAGACGCCTTCAGTTTCTAATACATGAAAAGCCCATTGTGTAGTCCCCGTTAATCAAGAATGTAAACTAGTTTCTACCCAAACATATTGTGATGTCGTCAGTTTCTAATACATCCATCATCATCATCATCATCCTTGCCTTGATCTCATATGAATGGGGTCTACAACATGAATTCTCTTTTTTCATTATTTTCTATTACATGCCATTTCTTCTCTAATATTTAACTTTTTAAAATCATTTCTAATAATTTTATTCCATGTTAATTTCGGATGGCCTCTCTACCTCCTACCCTCTATGCAAATTATCCTTCCTCTTCTGATCGGTTCATCTATAGGTCTTCTACGTATATATCCTTACCACCTAAGTCTACTCTCTCCAATCTTGTCACTAATAGGTGCTACATCCATAATATTATTATATTGCTTAATAATACAACAATTTATGAGTGTGTGTGTATGTGTATGTGTGTGTATCTATATATATATATATATCTTCACCACTTGTACAGTTTAAATTGTGGTCTATTTCCTCTAAATAATATGTTTCCTTGCTTACATAATCAAGCATGTTGATTACCCAAGAACAAGATTAGAGGTTCTTTAACATATTTCTCTGCCAGTTCAGTTGCTTCGCAGCTAAATGTAGAATTTTTTTAATCAACCACCTCACATATAAACATAATAGTCATCCACTATGTAATAGAAAAAAAAATGACAAATTTGCAACTTTCACTAACATAAGATATAATCCTACTTAAATTTGTGAATTCTAGACTATAAGTTTGTCTCTGTACACACAGTTTGAAATTATAAGTCTTAATCGGATATAAAAAAATTCAGGATAATTGCAACAGATTAAGATATACAGAATTGGTCAATACAAAACCTAAAATTTACAGAGGGTAGACGAAACATCACAAATAATTTAAAGTATAGAAATTAAAACATTAAGATAAATACCTGCATTGGATACTCTTATAAACATTATTGTGGAATTCAACATTCAAGTTAGGTTTTGCAAAACCTGCCAAAAATTTTAAATTTAAAAAAGAAGAAAGATTTTGAAGAAACGGGGCAAAAAATAAATAAAAAATTTAACGACGAAGAAATTATCATAGATTTTGGGATTAAGAGCAGAGACCTGGAGATTGAAGCTTTAACCCTACAAAAACCTTGGTCGCGCAGCTGCCAAAAGAAACAAGGGAATTTTTCAAAGACAAAAAAACAAAATTCAATTTCGGTTTATATGAAACATTAAATCTATATATACACATATACGTACACAAATATATATATATATATATATATATATATATATAGAGAGAGAGAGAGAGAGAGAGAGAGAGAGAGAGAGAATAGAGTGAACCTGAGAGACGGAATAACTTCAGTTGGAGAGTGTAGACTTGTATGAAGCGACACAGCCATTTTAGAGATTGAGAGAGAGAGAGAGAGAGAGAGAGTAGGACTATAGTTGATGGTTCGGTCTATATCCTATATCGAGTCTCTTAGCAGCGAGAAGGTTAGATTAGGGAATGTGGTTTATGGGTAATTTCAGCGGGTAGTCGAGTTTTATGTATAAAGCTTATTATGCATTTTACAAGTAATAATTAATTGAGTGGTGCACTTTAAAAGTGGAAACTTTATTTTATTTTATTTTTATTGATTGGTTTTTCATTGATTACCCAACATCTCTAATGTAAAAAAGGTAATTCACTATTAAAGAGACATCAAATTCTAATTTTAATTTTTTTAATTTTAATTCTTTTAAAGTTGTTATATGAATGTTGCATTTGGTGATATAATTATGTTGTGTTATGAATTTACTTGATATAGTGATTTTTTTTTTTTTTTTTTTTCTTTTAAAATATGATATAACTATGTTACACTAGTGCACAGAATTATCTAAATAAGAGGAGATTCGGGTTCAAAAAGAGACGAATCTAATACACAAGCACAAGTTGAAATTTAAAATTTTATATATCATTTCCATTTTCTTTTCCCTATATCAAATTACATTTTAAAATTTACATTTATAATATTGTTTAAGAATGAGAAAAATATGAGAGATGAAAATTTTCTTCCTTTTTTCTTTCCTAAATATGCAAAAATTAAAGAAAAGCTAAATGGGTTAAGGGGCAAAGTTTGAAACACAATTTGTTCACTTTTAATATGTCAAATCTTACTTGTCTTTTTTCATTCGAATTCATCATATAACATTTGCAACAGCTATTATTTTTTACATCAAGAACTCCTCCAACCAATACCTCAAATGCCTACTTGACATTTGGCATTACATTTTAGTTTATGGATCCCACAAACAATTTAAATTTGACATATTGAGCATCTTCACCCAAAACTTTAAATATTAATAAACTAATAAATTTGACATCGGAGTACGCCAAAATATATGAAATTATACATTTTTGAGATATGAAATTTGAAGCATCATGCTCTAATACACCCTCTCTTGTTTTTTTTTTCTTTTTAAATGAAGACACTTTTTCACGAACGGCTCTCCAGGAAAGGTATATACGCCAGTAACAAGTCATATACTGTGTTTTTGAAGATGTAATAACTAAAGAACTTTCACAGGTACATTCCTTATAAAAGTTGAGCCTCTACAACCTTAATTTCAAAACATCAAAGTTGAGCTTCACTCCATAGCGCCAACATTTCTGCCAATTTAAAAGTACATTTTTGTGCCACAAAACACAATTAAATGTGAACTTCCAAATGAAAACACTTCTATTGTGCCAGACAGGCAAAAAAAAAAAAAAAAAAACCACCCTAGTTCATACATCTCCAACAGTTTTACGGTTTTGCAAGAGATTCTCAGAGAAGTTTTCTTGCTAAAGTAATGTTGATCCAATCGAATACTCGAGACCCTCACTTGAAAACACATATATGTTCCGGCAAAAACAAGTTAAGGTCTCCTCCCAAACATTGTTTAACAAATCGCTGGCAGACATGCAGGAACACAAAAGAGCCGTTCACACCGGTTTAATAGAAGCTCTTGGCAAGCTGCCAATGCCCATTACAGACTTACAGTTCCAATGAGAAAATGTGAAGAAAACCCAATAATGGCGAAAACATATACACGGGAAAAAAATATCAACGAGTGTCTCAAGACCATACAACAATCTAAGGATGTCGTATCAAATTAAAAACCTAAAACTGAGAAACCCTACCTACAAGCCCTGGGAATTGTTCAAATTATATAAATCACAGAAGAGTTGGTCTTGAAATAATGCAGCCACAGAAATATCGCTCAATAAAAGGCAGCAGGTGATGATCCTCCACTCGTTTTCCATAATAATGGAAGTCAAAATTCATGTTCATCCTCTTCCAAAACGTTCCAAATCATCCTAAAACAGAAGTACAGACAAAATTAATCATAATTGTAGAAAAAGCAATCCCACTCTACTGGTTTCAGAAAGGCAAATAATAGATTGTTAAAGGTAGGAGTACCAAAATAAGGAGACAAAGAGAAGAAATATCAGATAAGCGAGTTTGAAGATCCGTATCTTCTTTTCCCTACTAAGCAAGTTGAAGATCTCAGTTACATCTATCAGGTGCTGTCTCCGCATGTACCTAATCCAGAAAGGAATAACTCAGAATGAGTGGGTTGATTCAGAGCCAATTACAGAGATACATAATGTTTAAAATACACTGTATATTGATTCATCCCAAGCCACTAAAACGTATGATTTTTTTATTTTATTTTTGCATAATAAAACGTATGATCACTAGGACAATTTGGCTATTAATACATGCATCATGCAAATGTTCCTTCATGTTCGAGATGATCACTAAAATTTGGAGCGAGCTGAGGTATGTGCAGGCTCAGTCCAAGCTTTAGCATATTCTGCCAAGCCTGATCTAGCAACTCATTCCTGGTTGCCAATCTAAAAGTATAAATCATCCAACAGACACAAACATCTCCTGAATGTGGTAGATTGGTGATTCTTTTATAAATTTCTAAAATCTAATTGGCTGATAGAGCTTGACAGAATAAAAAAATTGACCCAAAAAAAATACACAGAAGGAGAAAAGGCAATGACTTGAAAGAAGAAAAAATACATATATACAAAGCATTGACTTGGTATAATTTTTGTTTACATAGTAATACGACCGTTTGATCAACAGTCATTAAGTTATCAAACGGCAACAATAGTTTAAGTGATGCGGTTGGCTCTTCCATGCCTGGACCAAAGAAACTATGCCAAAGACCATGTTCGCTATAGTAAAGGATTAAGCCTCACTATTATTTGACCCAACTACCTCCTTACACAGTTAATCCAGTTTATATGTTAATGATAAAGGTTTTGATAAAGCGGGAGGAGGAAAGAAAAGAAGTAGGTTTTGCTAAAGTGGGAGGAGGAAAGGAGAAAAGTATGCAGCAATCACAACTGCTTAAGGAGTAAAGATAACAAAAAGGCATTGAATTGATGCAAGAATTACAGCAGCTCTTGAACATGATAAAACATTTAACAGTGAAAATATCGGCCAAATGGTTCAAGAGCATCACACCAGAAGAATTTAGGTCATGAGACAAAGATCTAACCCCTTCATGTGAAAAGTTACTCTATAGCATCTCCAAGTTGCTTATGGCAAATAATTAATGTCCCTGTAAAATCACTTCCACAGTCACTCTAATACCAAATGCAAAAGTAAGACTATATGAATTTCATTTACACTTACTTATCAAAAAAATTTATATTTACACTTGTATTCTACGATAAAAAGGAAGCCTAAATTGAACTGAGAACATAAAATGTGTTTCAAAGAAAGGGGTTGTTATTACCGTTTCAATCATCGAGTCAGGGGAGGTCAGTAAGAATTTCAAAACCTAAAAGACTTATAAAAATATTGTTTCAAAAACCTCACTTATAATGTTGAAACCCCAAGTAAATAAAACTATATATTAACCAAAATAAAATTAAATAGATGAAGGAAAAAAAAATGTTCAAATAGTTTTTTATATTTTTTTTTGTCACTAAAGCCCCTACTACGTATGACGTATGAGATGTGCATCTCAAGTAATAGATATATGCCATGAAACCATAATCACTTTGCAGCGAATTCTTAAAATGACATTTCCGAACATTTCCATTGAACCATGACCCCTAGCAAAGCATCAAGATTCAAGACCAAGAAGCATCCAGGAACTTCAAAAGGTATGAACCGCATCTAATTCTTTCAAGCAACCCATAGTTCATAGATAAAGGCAAGGTGATGAATGCACAAAAGAAGGAAACTCCGACCAACCTAAAGTGGAATGTGAGAAGCTAAGGCATGTGCTAAAAACTACATAAAACATGGAAAACACATAACGACATGTATTCCTGATTATTTGACAATTTTCAAGAGAAATCACATTAAGTAGATATGCAGCAAAACCTGTGCCATTTGTGTTACATATACTAAATTTTTTAATAGTAAGACAAATGCAAGCACAAGTAAAATGCATGCTAAAATCTCTCTATCCCTCTAAAAAAAATACATATATGAATCCATGTAAAGATGTAAACTTTTGAGCAAACAAATAAAATTAGACATGGCCTAGTATTATTGTCGTTGTTGATGATATTTTTAATTTTGAAGAAAGGACTGAGATAAAAATAAATAAATAAATACTTACAATCTCACATTGTAGTACATGTATGGAACATTCAACAGCGCCATAACCCAATGCCCGGTTACAAGACAGAGGAAGCATAAGACTGCTTGCGTGACAAACTCTGGAAAAATCAATTTGTTTATCCGAGATGCGGAATCATAAGGATTGATATAATCAAACTCTAGATCCGCCAAGCACATAAGCTGCCAAAAATAAATCATCTGTCATATTCCATATGCTTGCATACATCAAACCCAAAAAGGGGCAGGACACAGACATGGAAATATATAAATATAAAAGTTCATTTGTATAGTCTATTATATATGCAAATATAAACTTTCAATAATTTTCTAATTTTTGTACTAAGATTGCATATATGGAAGATAAAACTATTCAAGTACTAAAGATTTCAATTTATATATACAAAAGCTTCAGTATTATAAATATACAGACACATAAATATATATTCAAGTACTAACGATGACCATGTGTATGATTTAAATTTTTGTTGAAGAAAGCAAGCTTGAACATCTTTTGGAGTGTGTTCGTCTTGTTTTGATGACTGTCGGACATGAGCCTTTTTAAGACGTGTTTGTTACATAAAGCTTATGTTTGGAAACATTGTATGGGAAATCCTAAATTATGAAATTTATTTATTTTTATCACGGACACATTCATGAAGTATTAAAAACATCTATGAGTCTCTACAAACAGTGTACCGCACAAACAAAGCATGAGAGAGAGAGAGAGAGAGAAGGGGGGGTTGTGTTTGTGCTTATAGAATTTAAATAAAAAAAAGGATTTTCCCACATAAACAAAATATAACCTACCAAGAATAAATATATATACACATATCTAAACTTAATCTTCTTCAACAAATGATCTCTAGCAATTTAGAGGAACATAAGCCTCTTGGAATTGCTAACAAAAACTTCCAAAATTTTCTCATTGTCCTCATCATCAAGAACATAATTCCTTATCAAGAGCTACTTGGATTTATAAGTGGGGCTATACAATAGTTTCAGAAATATATTTATTTATAATTTCTTTCTAATTAAGAAGGGGGGTTAGTGATCAGCATCCTGCTTGTGAAGCGAAAGAGCCATGGAGGCAGCAAACTAATGCCTAAGTATAAATGGTCGAGACAACATACAACTCCTTAAAAACTTCAGAAGCCATATGCATTCCTACGAAAGAAGTTGAGATCAATGACTTAAGTATGTTAATATGTTTCTGTTAGGAATAAGAGTCGTATACTGGCAATTTCCTATTTGCTGTACAGACCTTAAGAAAAAGAAAAAAAAAAAAAAAAGGCTTCAAACCAAGGGAAGGGATGTTTACACATACCACAATTAGGACTTTGAAGTATGACAGAGACTGTACCGGAGTGGTTAAAAAGAACAACAATGGGTTGTAGCATTTCCTATTGATTTGTCAAGGGGATGTACAAGAAGCTTTCTCGTCTAAAGGCAGGGTGAAATTTCTCACTATACAATGACCAAAACGAACGAGGGCTAACGACGATGAAGGGAAGGGAGAAGGAGGTCAAAGCCATGAGTCACATGCTTCCAACCACAAAAGATGATGAAAATACAGCTCAATGAAGAAAATGCCGCAAATATCTCAAGACTCGATCACATATCTAGGTTGAGGTAAGTTGAGACCATAAAGACCAACTATGACCGAGGTATGATCTTTAGAAGGCTAAAAATACTATTTTAATCATGTTTATCAAAAACTGCAATTTTTGATAAAATGATTTCCCAATGTGCTTCAATTAACTGGTCGACTGATGGAGCAACTTGGCAGTAGGTATCTAACACTGCCTCGATCAATCGAGCCCCGTGGGGATTTATTCTTGAAGACTCTCAAAACATATTTCTAAAACGATTCAACATACCAAAAAGTATGGGCTACCTATATTGGCTATAAATACGGGGTTTTAGTCGATCTAAGGCATGATTTTAAGCCTCAAATCATATAAAGAGAAAATCCTTATGTGAGAGAAATTTCCAATTACTAAATCGAGGGTTCCAATAGACACCATCATATGTGATTGAGTATTCATCAATGAGGAATTCACCAGCGAATCGAGACATTCCAATTCAACCAATCAGATAACAACCATTGGAGAAACGGATTCGTGTGGAGCAAAGTCTATTGCCGCAAGAGATGAACAACCTGGAGACTTGAGTGGAGATTTTGACATCAATCTGTGTCAAAAAGTAACTTGAGATTCTAGAGTGTGAAAACTGTTAACCTAGCTGTAACTTCTTTCTCATATAATGGATTGTTCTTGCCCGTAGTTTTTTTATTGTCTAGGGTTTTCCACGTAAAAGTTTGGTCCCTCTAAGTCTTATTCATTACTCAGACTCTTGACTTATTAGAACCTTGGGTAACAGTCCAACAATCTAACAGCTTCCCAAGGGGTAGCAAAAATAACGATCAACATCTTTATTCTTCAAAGGAAATTAATTCTACATTTTAGTATTAAAGAAAGTAGAGAGTAAGAAGCCAAGTGAATTAACACTCCATTGACACACATCACGAGCTTGGAAAGATAGTAGGGAAAATTCCATCTTAGTCCTACTTTTTAACCTCAAAGACAAATAAGTCCTAAAAAAAAATTATAGGACAAAGAAGTCCTACTTTACATAAATATTTCCAATCAAGTCCTAAACTAAATAGAATCCCTATTTTACCCTTTCCATATTCCCCTCACTCTCAACCCCCTTTCTCCCTTAACCAATCCGGGAATCCATTTGAGGAACCAAAGGTTTGACAGAGCTCAGTTGGGTGGTTTAGCAGCGATGATGAGACCACACATTTCTCCTCAAAATCTCTTTCCTCTGATTTATCTGGTCGGTCTTTTTACCAAAACAAAGCTCGTTGCGACCTCCAAATTGCACGAGTTCACCAACACAGCTGAGTCCTCCGCTCCGAGTCAGCCGGTTAATTCTTGCCGCCGTCCGACTCCACCGGCTGAGTTCATCCTCGCCGAACTCACCGCCAGCCCGTCCCTGCCGGATCCATCACAGTCGCTGTTCTCGGCTACTGTTCCATCCCGCCAAGCCGCGCCGCAAGCTTACAGCTGAGCTTCTTCTTCCATCACCGATCAAACCATCACGGCCGAGCCCTCACCGGCCGACCCCTCCATCGCGGCTGAGTCCCCGACATTATCCAAAGCCAAAACCCCCTTCAGCCTTCCTTCTTCCTTGATCGAAGCTTTTTTCGAGCGAGGTTGTCTGGTTGCCCCCTCTGTAACGATTTTCGCGATGAGATCAAGATATATATGTGTGTGTGTGTTGGGGCGGCAAGATGAGAACAGAGAACGGAGAGAGGAAAGACTCACCTCATCGGCAACTATAGGCTCCATGGATTCTGGCAGTGATTTGCATAATGTCCTCACCGGTGAATCGATCCTTGCTTAAGGGAGAAAAGGGGTTGAGAGTGAGGGGGAATATGGAAAGGGTAAATTAGGGATTCTATTTAGTTTAAGACTTGATTGGAAATATTTATGTAAAGTAGGACTTCTTTGTCCTATAAACTTTTTTTTAGGACTTATTTGTCTTTAGGATTGAAAAGTAGGACTAGGGTGTAATTTTCCCAAGATAGTATCATGGTAACCATCAAAGCAAGAGAATAAGATTTAGCAAGCTATTGACGTGCACAGTGTTGAGGTTAGAGAATCTGGACCCTTTCAAGATTGTTGTTTATAGTGACGATTTGGTACTAGAGCTTTTTGAAGGCAATGTTGTGTTGGGCCTAGGTTTTGCAAAACTTTGGCAGATCTTATCCTCTGGCTTTGATGGAGATGCAATTATTATTAGTGCTCAAGAGAATAGGGAGAATGAATAATATAAAAAGTCAAAGATCACAAGTTTTTTTGAACTCATTCTATGTGTGGAAGCTATTTGGTGACAAGAGCCCAAAAGGACGTTAGATAGCAAACGTACTTGGAGATTGGGTGTTCCTAGTGTTATAGATCAGAAGTTCCTGAAGACTGTTGACACATCAACAACTAAGAAGATCGGGAGAATTGCACAAGTCTGAATTAAGAGGGACTGGATGATTCTAGGAGGGAATCTGGTAACTCAGTTGAAGACTTCGTTCTCATTTAGTGGATTTTGATCTATTGGACTAAGTCCCATAGTATTGTCCTATGGGGCTTTTCCCGTACATCTGGTGTGTTGTGTGATTGCTTGGTTATTATTTCTATTCTATGTATTTAAATAACCAATATTGTTGAGTTTCAAATATAATTGCTTGAGTTTTAAATCAGTTACTGATTTAAATCAGACAAGATCTATTCACCCCTATAAATCTATTTAGGGCATAGTGCTGGTTAACAGTTCTGTTGTTTTTCTTCAAAGTCCAATAAAAGGCAAACGTGATAATTAACCATAACACCAGCAGACAAGCCAATTTAAATAATTGAATTCATGTAAAATACCATAATAGAGGGGAACAATTCAAATAAAATCTTAGAATGTATATATGAATGTTCATATTATGCATTTATAATAAACTCAATAACAACTGCTTTGTCAAACTCTATGCACATTATGAGCATTTCACCATACATATAGTTCTAATTTCGCCAAAATACAGAACTGAATGCAAGATATATATATATATATATATATAACAACAATACTATCATATATATATATAACAACAATACTATCATAAGCAAAACCCTAATTTTACAATTCTCAAGTTGCAAGGCATGAACACCAGTCCATTGATTAAAATGTAACTAAAACAAAAATAACTTACAGTATAAATACTGCATTCTACTCTGTGAGTTTGAACTGAGTATATATATATATATATTTTTTTTTATGTATAGAGAGAGGAACATATGTGTTTCTAGGGTTTTAGGAAATTGACCTGGTAAACGACGAGCGCTAGAAGAGCTACAACGACGAAGAAGAACAATACCCATACGAGTAGATAACCCATCCTCTCTCTCCTTCTCCTCTTCTTTCGATTCCTCAGTTCGTCAAAACAATACGAACCAAAAAGAAGAAGCGCACGATAAGAACTGCGAATCAGCAGAAAACAGGAGAAGATCGCTAATGGAAGCGGTTGGTGCGTAATGCGCACGCTTTTTACTCTGCGTTTTACTGCTGATCACACGCAAAGGATCGGAAAAGAGAAGGGAAAAATATAAAAGACTGTCGGACTTCAAATAGTATACCGTCAAGCAAGAAATCGTGGCGTGCTGGAAGAGAAATTATTGGATGGTTTCAATAAAATAAAATAAATAATTTTATTAAATTTTTTAGGTCCACTTTTTTTTAATTAATTGGTTCGTTTTGGTTAGATTGAATCACATTATCTAACTTTTGGCAAGTGCCTGCCCTTTATAACATATGTAGTAACTTTTTATATATATATTTTTATATATGTGAAAAAAATTATATATTATTCCTTAAATTTTGTTGTTTCTAAAATTATTTCTTTATTTTTTTTTTTACTTTTTAAATTCTTTAAAATTTCTTTACAAGAAAAAGTTAAATTTACTTTCCTTAATTAAAACTCTTAATTTTTTTTTTTTTTAAAGTTCTTTCATTTTTTTTTTATTTATTTATTTTTTTTATTTCTACTTCTTAACATTTTTCTTTTTAAGGTGCATATTTAAATAATTTTCTTCTTCTATCTACTTTTGTATTTTATATTTGTTATATATATATATATATATATTGCACCGTACCCTGACTTGAAATTTTGATTCCGGTCCCTGCTCCTCTCATAAGTGAGTGAGTTGATTAATTATTTTATTTGAAGGAAAAAATATAACTAAGTAAATTATGATCCTCCTCAATAATTTTTCTCTCATGTAATTTGTTATGCATGACCAGGGTTTTATAAGAGAATAGACATATAGAATGCAAAATTGATCAATGCACGACTGTACTGTTGAATTATATGATATGTTTGATGGATAATTTAGAAAGAAAAAAAACATGTTAGTATTAATTTTTTTCTTTTTTGCTAATATTAATTTAATTGCTGAGGTCGGCTAAGCCAATTAAGGCCCAGATGAGGCACGTGCCCCCCCCTCACCTTGTTCCAACCTATTATACATAGGTACATATTTTTGCTATATATATATATATGGTAATTTTAAATAGAGTCTCTCTTAAAATTTTTAAATTTTTCTAATTTCCTTTTGAAAAAAAAAAAAATTACATATATCCCCTTCTTCAAGTATACCATATATTTTTCGTTTTCTAAATTTTGTTTGCTTTTTTAAAAAATTTCTTTTTTTCACTTACGTGTATAATTATTTATTTTTCTATTTTTTCCACTTATATCTTTTTATTGATGACATTTGTGATTGTATTTAATTAAATTATTATGAATCAATATTTTGATTCTTATATTTGTAACTATATTTTTTTTACAGTATTTATTTAACATATTATTTTACAAATATTTTCTTCTTATTTGCCTTTTGAATTAAAAAAATTATATTTCGTATTTGTCATACTTACGTGCCCCCTCTGAAATAAAATTCTGGCTCCGCCCGACTGAAGATGCATAGAAGAGAGATACTGAGATAATATGGATTTGGAGAAATGATATTTGTCATTTCAATAAAATTAACAACACGCTTCATATTATACATAGAGTTCAAGTTCTAAATTCTAATAATTGAGGGCGGTTGAATGCGGAAAACTTGATAGTCAATGGGCCTTTACTGCAATTTGCTCCTAAGGGGAATGTTGGAATGCTTACTTTTGCCCAAATTATTATTATTTATTTATTTTTCGTAAGAAAACTTTTGTCCCGAATTGTTAAAGGGTACCCCACACCCGGACAATTCCAACAAACGATCTTCATTGCGTCTTTGGATGCCTCAATTTCACAAAAGTTCCCAGTAACACGAGACCATCATTTCTTCCTTGCCATGTCCGGAATCAAACCCAATTCGACATTCAACTCATACTCAACCCAAGTTCAAAGCATCCTGGGGCTAATTCGACATTCTAACCCAAACTCAATCCAAGTCCAATCTATCCTGAGAGTGCTCGGAGACAACTAATACATAACAAAAACATCTACGTATCTGTGTATATGTATGTGTGTGTTTATGCACACAATGGACATCCAGTGTAGTTTCCCGTAATCAAGGATTATAAGAGAGGTAAGCTAGATATCATTCGACATTATTTGCACAAATTGGCTCCTATTAAAGATTGAAACATGTGTGTGTGTGTTTATACATATTTACGAAGTTGTAAAATAAGAAGAGCAAGTACAACATGTTGAGTGTATTCACAAATGGAAGAATGGTAAAGAAATTTGTGCTTGGGAGAAGAATAAAAGAAGAAAAATTGGAAAGCCAGTAGAGCAAACAAGATGATTGACAGTTTTACCCGCCAAAAAAAAAAAATGGTTGATAGAGTAACATAATAAATTAATAATAATGCTATGTTACTCTAACATGGTGTGATCTGAGCCGAATCATCCATTACAATGCATGCATCCCAATATCTTCCAAAGTTTATGCGTTCTTCTTATAATTTTGCTGATCTTCCGAGCTACGAAAGCCGGTAGGAAAAAGAAAGGAGTCGGAGGACTTGACCTTACTGAAACAGTACTTCTTTCTGAGATGAAAGAAGCCGATGCAATTTCTCCTCCCCTGCTATGATCACCATTGTTCTTCCGAAGATAGAAACTTCTGCTACCGACATCTCCAATCACATCCGATTTCTTCAAACCTACCCAAATAAAATAAATGTTTTAATAACAACAATAATAAAAATTATAAGGGAATGTGTCTTAGTTGATGCAGCCTAACAGTAATATAAACTTTTTCTAAAAAGTGAATTAATCATCTTGAAAATTTTCTTGCAACTATACTCACACAATGAAGTAATCATAATGAAGCCATTGAAAAAAGAACAGGAAGGAAGAAATAAATCCGCATTAATAGTGTACGTCAATTCATGTATTAATAGAATCCAATACTTCCCTGTAAATCGATAAGGGCCACAGAAAAGGTCAAAGATTGGAGAGCCTTCATCGTTATAATACAATACAGATTTTAGCATCTTTTGCCATGACTCACAAAACACTTGTAAAATAACTTTGTAAAAAACAAAGCTCCTTGCCAACTTATTTACTATGAAAATTGGGAATCTACTCAAACATCTTTGTTGACACATTTAGCACCAAAAATGTTTAAACCTCCAATCAAAATACTGATCTGAGAAAAAATGAACTAACTGAGTTTATACAACTGTCTTCATAAATCAACACTAAAATATTTTAAGGTGAACCATATCTTGGCGGGAGCCCTTCAATGGAATGTATAACCCCTGTGAAATTGTCTGCTGCCAAGTAATGTTTCCCATAATATTTTCTTTAGGTAAAAGATAAGCATAGTCTAGATATATATACATACATATATATATATATATATATACATATATATTGCAATCAAATGGCAATGAATGTAAGGAGCATTTATGAAAACCATTTTTTTTTTTTTAAATTTTTTTGAAAGAATATCTTCTTCTAGCTATTTAAAATAGTTTCATGGTTTTCTACATAAAACAAAATGATCCGAAATAATAATTTGTATTTTTTTTTTATTAATTCGAGAAAAAAAAAAATTAAAAATGATACGCCAAACAGGCCACTAAAAAAAGATGCCACTGCTACTTGGTAATATATTCTACTAGTGTTCATACCAGACATCTATACATCAAAGTTACTAGGTCAAAGGTTAGCCAAACAAGTTTAAAACCCATAAATAACCTATAATGTTTGGTCTTAATCTTCAATTATCCCCTTTATGCAGTGTAGAGTAACTTAATTGCCATTGTCCAAAAGAGGAAAGGATAAAAGACGAAATGTGATAACAAATCATTCTAAAAACATATTGTAGTAGTAAATTATCAACAAATTACTAACCAATTGTTTTCAAAATCCAACTGCTTCTTTTAATTTATGGTTAATCTTTCTCTCTTCTTGACCCCCTTTTTATTCGGGAATTAAATGAATAAACTGAAAAGAAACTCAAATCCCAAACTTACTTTGAAGACTGAAGTATGAGTGGTGTAATTCGAAGGTTGAAGCAGCATCTTTACCGAGCTGAGGACTACGCCCTTCTTCACTGTACTTTTTTACTACAAGCTTTATTGTATCCTCCACGTTTGATCCCAATTTGACCATAATTCGAATTGGTCCAGTACTTCCTTCAACTGCGACATTAACCACCACCTTCGCCTCCTTGTTGTAGCCCTGCAATCCGAAATCCCCATTAAATTTGGACATCTACGGGATGTCTAAATTAAATGGTAATATATGGTCAAGTGAACCTACTAGTCTGCAAATTCAAATGGCTGCGAACAATCAGTATGAAACAGGAACTTGATGTGTTGAATGACACTTTAACAATATTATAAAAAATACTTCTCGAAACATTCAAAACAGAATTTGCATTTTTGCTCCTCCTCTATAACCATGGATACTCCTATATAGTTGCATTTGGGATACCAATACTACTCGGGTACTTGCTCATATGAACCGTCATTTGACATGAGATTTTTTATTTCGAACATATAGCCGGACAATTTTGAAGAATTTGCTGTATCGTCATATCCAAATCGTGTCAAATTTGTATCGTGAATTCGTATTCATGCTGCATAGCTTCTTCTTTCAAATGTAGTCGAAATAGTAAGGTTCATCTTTTTTATACTATTATTAGATTTAACAAGACACATCCATCTTCCCTCCGACATGGTACAAATTTATTAATAAATTTCACCATAGTGTACGGCAACATGCACATGAGGACATGTTCTCATTGGTAATGCAATTGAATGGTAAAATATAGGGTTCCTAAAATCACAAACACCAATGAGCCCCAAAAAAGGGTTTGTGTTTTAGAACTTAATTACCAAAAACTTGCATATAATTAATTTGTTTGGCACAAAATATACAGATTAATTATTAATTAAATTGCAAAATTCTTTTGAGAAAAACAAGGCTCTTAGCTCTTCCCTCTCCAAATTAAATAATGGTAATCGCACCGGACTTGTAGTCCAATTGACTAGTGTTTAAAATGACTTCTTCTGTAATTTAAAATTTCCAATTAAATATTATTAGAGAAGAAAAAAAATCGAATTGAATGGCAATACTCTGTGTATATATACATATAACATGCTTGTGTAGTTGTGTGTGTGTGTGTGTGTGTCTGAATATAACATGTTTCACCTTCAAATCATGACCCATTGTTAATTGACATTGTGAATTTCTAATTATGTTCTGAAATTTTGTTCAATCAAGCATATAAATAGACAAACAATTAATTAATTAAATTGACAAATTAGAGATATGAACCAAATAACATTAACGCCGTTAAAACAAAAAAATGCAACCAAACAGTCCCTCATTCCAACGAGAAATCGATCTCACCTCCATATTTTGGGGAGATTGAGGCAATAACTCGGGAGACGAGAATATGTACATAGAAGACTCCCCACGGCAAAAAAGGGCGTCGGGAGCCGTCAAGTTCCGATGCTCGTCTCCGGCGCCGACGAGACCGACGGTCCAAAGATTAGGCTCCGAATCAAATCTCCGTATAATCTTGACGGCCTTCGATTGCTTTGAAGATCGTCGAGCCGGCCGGTGAGTAGACGGAGACGGATGTGGCGGTCTGGATCTCCGGTTCTTCGCCGGAAGTGTTGACCGGAAGTTTCTCTCTGACATATATGATATATATATATAGTCGTATATGTATATGTAGGTGTGTATATATATATTTTCCGAAAGTAAGAGGAGAGAGAGAGAGAGAGGAGAGTTGCTTGGAAGGGTAGTTGTCGTTAGTTGGTTTGCTTGGGAGGGTGAACTGATGATCTCTTGCTTTTTTCTGAAGTTAACGTCCAACTTTTTCTTTGCTTTTGAGTACCGAATGGTCATAGTTCTTGGTTAATTGCAAGAATGCCATTTATCGCAAATAAATAAGAAAAATAATTGTTTTTTTTAAATAAAAAAAAAAAATCAGTGTTTGTTTTTCCTATTCGTTATTTTCTTAATTTTGTAATTACAGATTAATGTGATGGAACCATATTAGCTCGAATAGGTAAGAACTCTACAATTTTTTTATAGGAGAGTGCTTGTTTATCCATTGGTGTGATTTCTAATCTATGACGGTAATGTGGTCCGATGACAAATACAAATATATTCTATAGTTAGAAAATTAAGAAAGTAATAAATAAGAAAAATGAATTCAGATTGACCCGCCTTCCATTTCTTTTTCTTTTTAAATTTTTTTTATTTATTAATAACTAAAGGTGATGTGCCGGTATAAGATTAAATATCAAATGTAAAGAGCAAGTATTCATGTTTAAAACAAGTTGAAATTGTTATTATTTATTTATAATACAAGTCAACTTCTTATTATTATTACCTAGACAAGATACTTGCACAACCATTTGCCCTATGAAGACTTCACGGTAAACATTATCAGAATTTAACATAATTTGTATTTGAAAATGAGATTTCTAAAACTTTGAAACGTGCTATAATCTAATAATATTTCTTCACATTTCAAAATAAAATGTCAAACAGAGGTGGAACACCAAGAGAGCTGTAGCCTGTCAAAAAATTGCCAAATGACAAAAAAATTTCAGTACCTAATTCAGGAATTTGACCATATATATGTAACCAAATTTTCTGGTGAGTTTAAATGTTTGGTGTTGCAGGCTTGCAGCATCTTAAATGCATGAGTGCTCCTTTTTCAAACCCATCCCACCAAAGATAAATTTTAGTTAATTAAAAAATATTTATTTATATATTAATTATTAATCGAGTAAATTCAAAAATTTACGGATTTTAAACTCTATTCTTAAACCCACCCGTAACCAAATTAGGATAATTTCAAACTCATTCCAATAGTGGCTGGACGAGGCGAGACCCCAACGGACTGGATTAAATTGACATCCTTAGTTACTAAGAAGTGTTTAATCAATAAAAAATGACGTACCAACAAGAAAACTCACGTCTCGAGAATGAATCTTTTTTTATTTCGTGCATCATTCAATACATCAAAACGGCACAATTTTGATGTACCGATAAGCACGGGATCCCCATGAACAGGAGGGGATCCAGATTCCTCACAACTTCGTGTCAAAAATACTAATCATCTGTAAGATTAACACCCAATGTACACCAAATAGGACTTGGAACAAGTTTGCAAGTAATCTCCGCTGAGAAATGGTAAAAGTATTGCTTAATTCTAGAACTGGACTTGGAGGATATAACTTTGGATTGTTTGTTGTATGCTGTATGTAAAGTATAACCCAAGGCCTAGCCCAAATGTAACGGATCGGCCCTTGTGACTCAAAAACTTAAGTTATTGGACAGTGCTGCCATATCGATTACCGACCCATATTTGTTAATAGTAAATTCAAATAGAAATACTTTGTGAACAATGGAAATTCATGAGCCCAAACGTACCTTAATTTTGAATGGGCTGAAAATGCTAAGGTGTGAATATGGCTTAGATTTGGATCAGCCCAAAGTCCCAAGTTTAAAAGGCCCAAAAATCAGATAGTTGTCCATATAAGGACTGAGTTTTACTTGTGAATTTGTGATATTCTATCCACCAAAATAACAATATAAATGGGCTGTGCTGATAGAGGAAGGCCCATTTGGGTCCAGAAGAGTTTTTCATAACAATATAAAATCGATTAATATCCTCATATTAGAAATATATATATATATAGATATATATGTACTCGTATTTGCTGCAACAATATGGTTTTGTCATCTCATAAATACAAATTATTTGAAAAGTCTGAAACAATCGCTATCAATAATATGTATATAGAGAAAACTTCGATTAAAAGAAATGTGAATTGAAAATTTTTAGTAATCTTTAAAATTTTTCATAATAATATACAATCTATTAATATGGTCATATAAAAAAATATACTTACCTAGACAGTGACCCAGTGATTGTGAAAGAAAATTTTCAAATCTTGACGACTAATCATATGTTCTGAAAGAACTCATAGTTATGTGAGACGCCTAATTAATTGTGTTAATTATATCATTATTTTTGCATAATCTAACACGGAATATTCTTGTTAACAAAATAATATTTCATTTTCAAAATAAATTTATAGTTATAAAAACAGTTAGGTAGTTAGATTTTCTCTCCAGATTCTCAGAGGCCAAACAAGAGATAAATGGACTGTGAGTCCCACACGTGTATCACCACTCACAGTTGTACTAGAATTTAAAGTAACCATAAGACACATTCAACGAACTAATTCTCCAACTGTCTGTCTGTTAAAAAAAAAAATTTGTGTAAAATATACACTATTACAAGTGATTTATAAATTTTTTTCGTCACTAGTAGTCTATTAAAATATATTGACACATCACTAATATGTAAAAAAGTTGTGTATTTTACACAATATTTTTACACTGTCATATAAGCATATTTTCCCTCTCCTCCCTTTTTCTACTTGCGGTTTTCTTTCTTCTCTATCATTCTTTTACGCTTCTTTGTTTCCCACTTTTTTATGGTAGAATAAAGAAGAATCTGTAATTGGCAGTAATGTAAGAACTGCTCGACCATTTTTTATTTTTTATAAATATAGTTTGATTCATCACTTTCGTTTAATCTTATCTTCTACAATTATACTGTAAATTCTATGATTCTTTAAAAAAATTATCATTTTACATTCTATTCTAATGAGATAAATATATACTAATCAAAGATTAGATATATATATTTTAATCACGTAATTTCTATATACTTAAATCTTATCGTATTATTTGTTATAAGTTAGAATTTCGGTGACGATGGCGTAAAAGGTTTGTTATTGGCGGGATGGGAAAGTGAAGTATAGGGAGAAATTATTATTTTTTTCTTAATTGAGAAGGATTGGGACGTGAGGTTTAATCGCCAAAAAATAAACTGAATAAAGTAGGTTTGTAAAAGTTATGTAGGGCCTTGGGTATGATACATGGTTGATTGTTATTCTTTTTAACACAAAAGGTATAAAATAATCGCTGGAGTTAAAAATAGTTAGTACAAATTTTTTTTATGTAAATCTACTCTAACACATCGGATTTACACAAAAAAAATTTAACAGATCGCTGGAGATGCTCTAAGTAAATTGCATGAAACATAAATGAAAATAATAAATATACCTTAATTTGAAAATTAAATGATTACATATAATAACTTATAAATGAAATGAAAATGCAGTTTATATGCATGGGAGCTTTGAGTTGGTGTATTACACAACTAATCGTTACGTGGCTCGATGGAATAATCATCGTTTTTTTTCAAAAAATATTATAAGTGTAGACAATTAGTTTGATAGGTGAAACTCACAGCTATACGAGAATAAAGTGTCCTCAATTATATCATTACTCTTTTGAAAATTATTGTCACATATTTTTTATTTTAACAAAATAATAATATTTCTGTATCAAAATAATTTTTATAGTTATAAAAACAGTAAGGTAGAGATTTTCTCTCCAGATTCTCGGAGTCCAAACAAGAGATAAATGGACTGTGTGAGTCCCACACGTGTATCACCACTCAGTTACTTCAGCTTTGGCACTGCAACACAATCGAGTTCGCATGAAAGTAAAATTCGCACGTTCCACTCATAGTAAATTTTCACACACAGTCACACACATAGAGGGAGAATATGAAATGGAAAGGGACGTTCCAATTCCAAAGTCTACGCACCAAATCATTAGCACACATCACATCATCACCACCACTCACACTTGATCATATAGGACGAAAACAATCCCCTATTCTGGTCCCACCCACACATGATTAGATTTCGATTCCCATCCTTTTTCTCACTTTCTTTTTTTTCAATCTTTTGGAACAGTTTCAATATGCTCAGCTTTTTCCTGAGTATAAGCTTTTTGAAAAAGAATACTATAACCAATAACGATCTCACTCTAAGATGATCCACATCTCAATTTTTTCAAACTCCACAAAATCTAATAATTGAAGACACAATGGTGTTTTCAGGTGCATCAGGATTCCCTCTTATTGGAGGGGTCCTATACACTGAAATTACACTGTTTTGGGATATAGTCCGGAATTTAGAGCACATCGTTTAAAATATTAACACATATTTAAAGTTGAGCTTCGTGTTTGTGTATTAAAACGACATTATTTGAGTTAGGATACTTAAAATAAAAAGGAATCCGCTTTTGTTTCCTCTTTTTTATGTGTTCTCATCACTTTAAAAAGTTCAGGTGACGGAAGGAGTATTTATTAACAATGACATACCAAAATTTCAAACAAAATATTCCCGAGGCTGGTGGATCCCATAGCAACAAAGTGTTATGAGTTAAGTCACATAATCTTTCTCAACGGGTGTCGCTCTCGCGTTCCGAACACGCTTCTGCTCTTATATTCAGCGTGCACTCTGGCTGAAATTCTTATTAATTATGATTTAATTTTGCAGTTTTCACGTTCCCGCTCTCGAATTCGCTCTTACTTTAATTTTTGCTTTATATGACTTAAGGTTGTGAGGCCCACTAACCCTAACAAATTATTTTTCAATAATTATTTTTTAGTTATAAATTAGACACAAAAAATATTTAAATATTTTAAAATAGCGGGTTGACGTATTTGTAAATGCTTTATGAAAGTTTTTTTTGTTTGTCAAGGAAATAAAAATAAAAATATTCAAATACAAAAATGAGGTTTCCTTGTTAGGGAATTGGTTGTCGCTGGTCATTGAGTTCATCACCACTATTATAAGGTCAAACCCTTTATAATTTGTAAATGCACGTTTAGAATTATCATTACCCATTATAATTTGGGCATAGTGGTTCACAGTCGTATTTTAGCATGTGTAAAACTTATT